GTACCGTCACTTGTGTCACAAAGCGCATTTGCGTACCGACGTACTTGTGAAGCTTTTCCAGAAGGCGGTTAGATCACCGGACGACAGAGTCGGTCTCCGTGTGCACAGACAGGGCTGCTGTTAACGTCGGTCTGCACAACGGAACTGTGCCAAAACTACGCCAACCGGCTGCGGAGGGAGACTCCCCCCCTTCACTGGAGCACTGCGCTAAAACAGCTGATCACGAACCAGAAGTTGGAGTACCAAACACCGACTCCAGGTACTCATCAGTACCTCTCTGATGCGGCTTTCACACCAGCGCTTTTCCCTTTCTAGCTCCTAGCTAGAGCTTTTCTGGTTCAGCTCCCGCTCTGTTCACACCGCCCAGAGCTGCCGCTGCTGCGTCATGACGTCACCGTTTACGTCGCTGATTGTCTCCCCAACGGCGCTCACAACAACAACGACAACAACGGGGGGGGGACTGCGTCGGGTCGATGATCGCGTTGCTTTTAATCATACGAAGCCAGATTAAATTAAATAACGACTTCTCCAACCTTATACTTTTCTCCAGAGTGCCGTGGTTCATTGTTTATTAATGTGTGTCAGCGGCATTTACCGACCGCTGCAGTGCTGGCTGCTCTTCCACAGGAATGTATTCTCCCGTTAGCTCCGGGTTAGCTCACACGGCTCTAAAGTATTCACTGTCTGACTGTCACACAAGCAGCTGATACATATCCCCAGTTCCCCTTAAGTGAATGTGTGTCAGTCTGAATTGACGCTGTTTGGCATCACAACGCTGTTATGAAAGTTTCTCTGGTATAACATGGGTGATGTTAGCATAGCAACCGAAGCTAAACTGACTACTTGCTAAGCCGTTTTCTACAGGCACTTTTTACCGGCGTATTTTTCATTATGATTCTACTTGTGATAGTCGGACATGACCACCTGTGCAGCCCATGTATTGATTCCATCCGATAGCTGCTATAATAACAAACAAAACGTCTGCCTGCTCTCCACAATGATCAATAACAGCGAACGGATGGTCAAAGTTTCCTGCACGCCTCGACGTAAGAGAGACGTAAGCGACGCCGCGTCATAGCTCCGAAGCTCTTGCCTCTAGACCGACAATATTTTGGAGCTGGAAGTGAACCGCTTTCCGGAGCTATGACGCGGCGCGGTGCGAGCCGGAGCTGGAAAAGGGCCGGTGTGAAAGGGGCATCAGAAAGTTATGTGCACCCCTGGATATAGCCTCTCCCTGTAGTATCTGGTGGTTTCCAGTGAACACAGTCCCATGTGTCTGTGCTGCAGCTCAGAGGAGAGGCGGGGGGTTCCCTGCTGATTAAAGTCTGAGCTCATAGTCACCATTAAAACACTGACAGAGGAAACGGATCAGAAAGAGTGATCAATAACACACCTTTAACTAACGTGAGTCACATCCTGTTGACTGTTCACCCTCAGGACGCAGGTGAACTTAATTACTTACAAGATGTGCACAGTGTGTGGTATCGCTCATTCCAGAAGTGTGTGTGTGTGTGTCAGTGGTGTTAAATCACACACACACTTCTGAAATGAGCAACACACACACGCTCTTACCTCCACTAGCTAATAGACGTAAAACACACACAGATGTTGACGAAATCTTCTAACACTGAACGTGACCTCCATCTAACTTTTACTATGTTTTATACAAACATCTTTTTGATAGCAAGTGTTGCACACACACACACACACACACACACACACACGCACACACACACACACGGTTCAGAGACCCTCCCTCTAACTTCTCGTTATCAACATCCATTTCCTGGAGTGTGTGTTTATGCAGTTGTACACCCCTGATAAAGCAGGAGAGAACGTTTCCTCAGAGAGAAACACAGCAATTTATAAAATACTACGATATAATTAGTAGAGTAGAAACCCTGGTGTAGTTACACATTTAATATCTGGAGTTTTTACTTTCTCTTATATTAATGTTGTTAAAGGGCCCATGTCATGCTTTTCCGGTTATTACCCGTCCCCTTGTGTTATCAAGGTTTTTATGCATGTAAACGGTCTGCAGAGTCACAAACCCTCAAAGTACACCCTGTCGGGAGTAAAACTCTAACACAGAAAATACCTCCCCAAAACGCCTCGTTGGAACTTTCTCATGTTCTTCCTGGGCATTGTGACGTCTGGATACCCAGTAGCCACGCCCAGAGCTATGACGCGATACGGTCATGCGGTACCCGGAACCAAATGGACCAGTCCGCGGAGCCGTTACGTTAAGCCCCCGCTGATTGGTCCAAATTGACCAATCCACGGACTTCCTCACACACACATCTGTGTGCAGGCAGCAGCTCTGCTGATTTCTCCTCCCTGGCTGCAGGCTGATAACAGACAGTTGGGATCGCGGCGAGATTCTCTCTGCAGACCCATTCTCTCTGCAGACCCATTCTCTCTGCAGACCCATTCTCTCTGCAGACCCATTCTCTCTGCAGACCCATTCTCTCTGCAGACCCATTCTCTCTGCAGACCCATTCTCTCAGCAGATCCATGCTCTCTGCAGACCCATCCTCTCTGCAGACCCATCCTCTCTGCAGACCCATTCTCTCTGCAGACCCATTCTCTCTGCAGACCCATTCTCTCTGCAGACCCATCCTCTCTGCAGACCCATCCTCTCTGCAGACCCATCCTCTCTGCAGACCCATTCTCTCTGCAGACCCATCCTCTCTGCAGACCCATCCTCTCTGCAGACCCATTCTCTCTGCAGACCCATTCTCTCTGCAGACCCATTCTCACAGCGTTTATCAACCTTTTTCTTACTCAATATCAAGACACACTTATTGTTTTTACTTCGGCTGTGACTTTGTGTGTGCTCAGGATGAGTTTGGCTGTGTTTCGCTGTGTATCCTAAACAATATCGAATATTCGAATATACATTTGCTTTCAAATTCCCATCCCTAGTCACGGCTCCGCCTACACTGCGTTACCATAGTTACTGCCCCAGCTACTAAACGGTAATGGAAATGCAGCATAAAGTGAGCCAGGCCTAACGAGGCCTAGCCATACCGAGCGAGGCCCTGTAATGGAAATGCGCCATTAGTAAACACACACAGATGTTGACGAAATCTTATAACACTGAACGTGACCTCCATCTAACTTTTACTATGTTTTATACAAACATCTTTTTGATAGCAAGTGTATTCACTCTCTGTCCTAAACGGCTTGTTGGAGCTCCTGCCCCCCCCCTCCCTGTGAGCCCAGTGTGCTCTGATTGGTCGGGACGTTGCGAGGCTCGTTGCTGCTCGTTGCTGCTCATTTCCTGGAGTGTGTGTTTATGCAGTTTTAGACCCCTGATAAACAAGAGAGAAAGTTTCCTCAGAGAGAAACGCACTTTAGAAACACAGCAATTTATAAAATATAATAGGTTATTTTAGTGGAGAGTAAAAACCCTGGTGTAGTTACACATTTAATATCTGGAGTTTTTACTTTCTATAATATTAATGTAGTTCAAAAATGTAAAAAATGTCCAATACAAAATGCAATAAATTACAAAATTGAATTAAAAAAATATTTAAATAGAGATCAGACTTTGAGGTAATCTAAAATAAGAAATACAATGAAATAAATACATTATTTCTTTATATAACCTTTAAAAAAAAAGTTAATATTTGTATCTGAAGATAAGGAGATAAAGTAAAGGAATATGGGGGGCTGTGACTCAGTGGATAGTGTGCTGGACTTTGAATCAGGGGATAGCAAGTTCGAGTCCCACTGCAGCCAGCATGTCGTTGTGTCCCGCAATCAATAATAAAAAGATGTTAGTACAAATGTGGAGAGTAAAAATAAAAGAGAGTAAAAATAAGAAGTTAACGGAAAATCCCCCCAAAAAGAGATTTATTCCGTTATAAGAAGTGCAATAAATTGATTAAATAACAAATAAAATGGTTTTATACAAACCGAGGAGGTCAAGGAGAAAATGTCCCATAAAAGTTTAATTGGTAATAAAATGTAGTAAAAATATTTATCCAAACATAAGAAGTGGCTCAGTCTGTAGGGACTTAGTCTTGGAACCGGTTCAAGTCCCAGAACAGACATAAATATGGAGTGTGAAGAATCCCAGTTCACCTACTGGTTACTGCCGTGGTGCCCTTGAGCAAACGCTGTGTGCATGTACATGTGTGTGATAAACTAGGAGGCTGTGGCGCAGTGGGCTATTGCGTGTGGCGCAGTGGACTATTGCGTGTGGCGCCTATTGCGTGTGGCGCAGTGGAACAGTGCGTGTGGCGCAGTGGACTAGTGCGTGTGGCGCCTAGTGCGTGTGGCGCAGTGACTGTGTAACTCCCTCTCTTGGATATCAGCATGTGAAGGACACTGTTCAGGAACTAGTTGATGCTCTGTATGTGATGACTACTTCCATTCTTCAAAGTCAGAATTCTTGGAGATTTTGAGAAAAAGTCAGAATTTTGAGAAAAAGTCAGAATTTTGAGAAAGTCCGAATTTTTGGAGATTTTGAGAAAAAGTCAGAATTTTGAGAAAAAGTCAGAATTTTTTTTTAAGTCAGAATTCTTTGAAAAAAAACATTTTTCAAAAAAGTCAACATTTTGAACATTTTGAGAAAAAGTCATAATTTTTCAAAAAAGTCATCATTTTGGAGATTTTGAGAAAAAGTCATAAATTGGAGATTTTGAGAAAGTCATACATTTGAGAAAAAGTCATGATTTTGAGAAAGTCATGATTTTGAGAAAAAAGTCAGTATTTGGTTCATGACAGGATATATGATTACCTACAAGAACGGGTATTCCTCCATCTTGTGACTGTGTAACTCCCTCTCTTGGATATCAGCATGTGAAGGACACTGTTCAGGAACTAGTTGATGCTCTGTATGTGATGACTACTTCCATTCTGGAGAGGATCATAAACACATGGATCCTGAGATTGAAGCTCAAGCCGGAGACCAGGGAGATTTTTCTAACAAACATTATTTTACCTGCCATGTCTCTGAACACCTGTGTTTCTCTGTGTGTGTGTGTGTGCAGGTGCAGGCTCAGGTGAGCGTCTCTCTGGCCGTGGCTCAGGCTCTCGCTGACGACGTGGATTGTCACGTGTTTCCATTCAGAGAGTTCGGAAAGGGACAAATCAAGAAGCTCCGAGTCAGTCCGGACGCTCTGATCCAGATCGGACTGCAGCTCGCCTACTACAGGGTAACGCACGCACACACGCACACACGCACACACGCACGCACACACTCACTCACACACACACACGCACACACGCACACACACACACAGACACACTCACTCACACATACACACACACACACACACAGATTCTCACACGAACACACACGCACACACACACAGAGACACACAGAGACACACACTATACACACACAAACTACTACCATAAAAGCATATTAGAAATTTGAGAAAAAACTACGCACAGTATAATATGACAAAATACTCGGATTATTAAATAACATATGTGCAGATATTAAGAGAGGTAGCTTTGTGTAAAAATATGCACAATATTCCCAGGGTTGTGCAGAACTGACAATACTTAAAGGTCCCATGTCATGGCCATTTCCACTGATCATAATTCCATTGTTGAGGTCTACTAGAATAGATGTACATTGTTCAATGTTCCAAACTCACATTGGTTTCTCATACAGCATCTCTGTATAGTATGTGTATTCACTCTCTGTCCTACACGGCTTGTTGGAGCTCCTGCCCCCCCCCCCCTCCCTATGAGCCCAGTGTGCTCTGATTGGTCAGCTCGGCCACTCTGTTCTGATTAGTCAACCACCAGAGAGGCTCCGCCCATGTCTAACACAGTGATTTTTTCGGCTCCGAGCGGAACATCAGATTCAGTTTTACGGTACAGCCGTATATGTTATACGCTCACTAACCAAACTGTACCTACAACTGTTGTTATTTAGGTGCACTTGTGGAAACTGCGCCATGATGCGAAGTGGAAAACGTCTGTTGCAAAGAAATTAGAAAGGTAGCCTAGCTGACAGTTACAACATTATGTAGCCAGCTAGCTGAAAACTATGGAGGACGGAACATGACTTAAGTATAAATAAATAAATAAATAAATGTGTAAATAAATGTATGAAGAACTACAGGAATAAATAAATAAATACGTAAATAAATAAATAAATACAGGAATAAATAAATGACGAAAATAAATACAGAAATAAATAAATGTTGAAATAAATACACAAATAAATAAATAAAAGAATAAATAAATGCATAAATAAATATGGAAATAAATACACCAATGTATAAATAAATAAATAAAAGTCGAAAATAAAACAGAACACACGTTATTATATATCTTTCATATATTTCTACATTTACTCGACATACATTTATTTATTTATTTATTTATTTATGTGTCCATATGCTAATGAGGTGGGCGGTCCTAACCTCAGTCTGAAGCAGGATTGGTTACAGGAGTGTGTGATCATTTCTGGCAGAGGGCTATACTAACGCCTGGCTAACCGCGCTGATTCGAATGCAGGAGCTTTACTGTTTAGCCCTTATCTTTATACATCCATGGTTTATCCACAGTTGTAAGGATTATTTATGGGTATTGGTTTAAGAGCCATTGGAGATCATTAGCGGACCATTTAGAGAACGGAGAACCAAAAGACTATGTCCAGTTTCGTGTGGAACGATGTATAGAGGACTTGGCTGAGCTCGATGTGGATGTTAACCCAGCTGTGTTTGAGAGTCTTCAAGAGGTTGCCCGCCAACTTGAAATCCTCTCGGGAACAGAGGAGGCGACCCTTGGGCGTCCATCTTACATGTTGCCCCCAAACGTTATTGAAGCACATCTTCGTTGGGGGCACACCGCTGGGGACATCGCGAACGGGTGTGCGAAAGAACAATTATTAAAGAAGCCATTATTAGCGAGTTGCCGTGGGTGTACACTACACAGAATGAACAGATGTGACTTGCCACGAATCTCTTGCTTCTGCCTTGCTCCAACAATTGGCGAATCCTGCTTCAGACTGAGGTTAGGACCGCCCACCTCATTAGCATACGGACACATAAATACATAAATAAATGAATGTATGTCGCGTAAATGTAGAAATATATGAAAGATATATAATAACGTGTGTTCTGTTTTATTTTCGAGTTTTATTTATTTATTTATTTATTTATTTATACATTGGTGTATTTATTTCCATATTTATTTATGCATTTATTTATTATTTTATTTATTTATTTGTGTATTTATTTCAACATTTATTTATTCCTGTATTTATTTATTCCTGTATTTATTTATTTATTTATTTATTCCTGTAGTTCTTCATACATTTATTTACACATTTATTTATTTATACTTAAGTCATGTTCCGTCCTCCATAGAAAACACCAGCAGTAGCACACAACATTATATGCCAAGATATACACCATACATACCCCACACCCTGCAGAACCTCCATAACATGTACAGATTCGATTATAGACCTTTGAGGCATAGAACGGAAGAAGAGTAAGTTATTTTTACCTGTAATAAACTACTACTGTTTGATGAGAAATCAAATCATGGTTTGCTATATATGAATGATATGTTATAGGAGCAAATAATTCAGAGAAGAAAGGCTACTAAGTATTTCCATCAAACTTTATTTTTAGAAATGTACAAAATGAACATGTGTAAATATACATATATACACTGTATATCATCCATTCCTCCCCTTATAGGCGTTTTCGGCATCTTGCCTATCGCAGCTTTGCAAGCTGGTGCCGGGGCTTTTTATGTGTTGTCCACCGGATACGCCAGGAGTTTCCTGATCTGGCTGGACGAAATCAAATGCAAATCACAAAATATTAGAGAAACTTAGTTGCTTTAGGTTCGTTAGCTTGCCAGCTAGATTAATATGATAACCTACGTTTGCTAGTTGTAGCCTTCTTGTTTAGCTCGGTAGCATACACGCTAGGAACGCCAACTATAATGTAATTAAGTTTCGCGACTGACTCATAGCAATTTTCCTTCATACTTTCTTGCCGTGAAATAGGTCTTAAATTCTATTCAAAGTGGTCTTAAAAAGGTCTTAAAAAGGTCTTAAAAAGTCTTAAATTTGAGTTGGCGAAACCTACAGGAACCCTGTCTCAGAAATCATGTTGTAATAAAGTAAATGAACCTCAGATGTTCTGATGAATCACAGATTAAACTCATCAGGAGTAATAAAAACGTTATGGTTTTGACTTGTGAACACAATCGCCTGACTTTCCCTTCATCCTGACATTCATTAAGCCAATAAAAGACCGACAGATGTGTCTATCTCTTATATCTTATACTATCGGGTTGTACATATTAGGGCATGAGGATACAAGCTTTTATAGCATATGATGCAACTGATTTACCTTACATGCAGCTGGTATGAACTGTCCATGAAGTGTTAGTGAAAGATAACGGGTTCTATAAGCTTTACCAAAAAGCAGTGCAGGAATCTGTTAGTTTTGCATGTGTATAATACACACGCACCGGTCCACTGTGCCACACGCACCGGTCCACTGCGCCACACGCACCGGTCCACTGCGCCACACGCACCGGTCCACTGCGCCACACGTACTGGTCCACTGCGCCACACGCACCGGTCCACTGCGCCACACGCACCGGTCCACTGCGCCACACGCACCGGTCCACTGCGCCACACGTACTGGTCCACTGCGCCACACGCACCAGGCCACTGCGCCACACGCACCGGTCCACTGCGCCACACGCACCGGTCCACTGCGCCACACGCACCAGGCCACTGCGCCACACGCACCGGTCCACTGCGCCACACGCAATAGTCCACTGCGTCACAGCCTCCCAGTTTATCACACACATGTACACAGCGTTTGCTCAAGGGCACCACGGCAGTAACCAGGAGGTGAACTGGGATTCTTCACACTCCATATTTATGTCTGTTCTGGGACTTGAACCGGTTCCAAGACTAAGTCCCTACAGATTGAGCCACTTATGTTTGGATAAATATTTTTACTACATTTTATTACCAATTAAACTTTTATGGGACATTTTCTCCTTGACCTCCTCGGTTTGTATAAAACCATTTTATTTGTTATTTCATCGATTTATTGCACTTCTTATAACGGAATAAATCTCTTTTTGGGGGGATTTTCCGTTAACTTCTTATTTTTACTCTCTTTTATTTTTACTCTCCACATTTGTACTAACATCTTTATGTACATATGAACATAAAGTTATGAATACTATTCATAACTTTTATACATCCTTTTGCATCGTTTCTGTCCTCCATGTTCTAGTTAAAATACTCTGAACTGTGGACTGATTGGTTGGTTGAACATCTGGTTATATATTTAATGTTTTGTGGTGATTCGATAACTTTGGTGTCCAGTCATTTGTTAAAGGTCCCATGTCATGCTTTTCCGGTTATTACCCGTCCCCTTGTGTGTTATGAAGGTTTTTATGCATGTAAACGGTGTGCAGAGTCACAAACCCTCAAAGTACACCCTGTAGCGAGTAAAACTCTAACACAGAAAATACCTCCCCAAAACGCCTCGTTGGAGATACGTCACTGCCCATTTGATTCTTCCATTTCGTTCCGGGTACGGCATGATGTCATGCCGTACCCGGAACAAAATGGACCAATCCGTGGAGCCGTTACGTTACGTCCGCGGAGCCGTTACGTTACGCCCCCGCTGATTGGTCCAAATTGACCAATCCACGGACTTCCTCACACACACATCTGTGTGCAGGGAGCAGGCAGCTCAGCTGATTTCTCCTCCCTGGCTGCAGGCTGATAACAGACAGTTGGGATCGCGGCGAAATTCTCTCTGCAGACCCATTCTCTCTGCAGACCCATTCTCTCTGCAGACCCATTCTCTCTGCAGACCCATTCTCTCTGCTGACCCATTCTCTCTGCAGACCCATTCTCTCTGCAGACCCATTCCCTCTGCAGACCCATTCTCTCTGCAGGCCCATTCTCTCTGCAGACCCCAGACCCATTCTCTCTACAGACCCATTCTCTCTACAGACCCATTCTCTCTGCAGGCCCATTCTCTCTGCAGACCCATTCTCTCTGCAGACCCATTCTCGACCCATTCTCTCTGCAGACCCATTCTCTCTGCAGACCCATTCTCTCTGCAGGCCCATTCTCTCTGCAGACCCATTCTCACAGCGTTTATCAACCTTTTTCTTACTCAATATCAAGCCACACTTATTGTTTTTACTTCGGCTGTGACTTTGTGTGTGCTCAGGATGAGTTTGGCTGTGTTTAGCTATGTATCCTAAACAAGGAAACAACACCTCCACGGAGCTCAGCGCGATTCACAACGTCCCGACCAATCAGAGCACACTGTGCTCACAGGGAGGGTGGGGGCTGGAGCTATTGGAGCTCCAACGAGCCGTTAAAGGCAGAGAGTGAAATTCAGTGAATACACGTAGTTTACAGAGATGCTGTTTGAGAAACCAATGTGAGTTTGGAGAAATGCTGTATGAGAAACCAATGTGAGTTTGGAGAGATGCTGTATGAGAAACCAATGTGAGTTTGGAGAGATGCTGTTTGAGAAACCAATGTGAGTTTGGAGAGATGCTGTATGAGAAACCAATGTGAGTTTGGAGAGATGCTGTTTGAGAAACCAATGTGAGTTTGGAGAGATGCTGTTATGAGAAACCAATGTGAGTTTGGAGAGATGCTGTATGAGAAACCAATGTGAGTTTGGAGAGATGCTGTATGAGAAACCAATGTGAGTTTGGAGAGATGCTGTTTGAGAAACCAATGTGAGTTTGGAGAGATGCTGTATGAGAAACCAATGTGAGTTTGGAGAGATGCTGTTATGAGAAACCAATGTGAGTTTGGAGAGATGCTGTTTGAGAAACCAATGTGAGTTTGGAGAGATGCTGTATGAGAAACCAATGTGAGTTTGGAGAGATGCACAATATAAATCTATTCTAGTAGACCTCAACAATGGAATTATGATCAGTGGAAATGGCCATGACACCTCTCCTTTAAAACAAGATCATTACTTTAGCTTTTTCATAAATAGTTTTATATTTTAAAGGGGCCTATTCTGCTGTTCTATTCTGTTCAGGTGTATATCAGTATGTAGTGTCTCTACTTTAAAGAGTCCTCTGCTGCTGATGTTCAGGTGTATATCAGTATGTAGTGTCTCTACTTTAAAGAGTCCTCTCCTGCTGATGTTCAGGTGTATATCAGTATGTAGTGTCTCTACTTTAAAGAGTCCTCTCCTGCTGATGTTCAGGTGTATATCAGTATGTAGTGTCTCTACTTTAAAGAGTCCTCTCCTGCTGATGTTCAGGTGTATATCAGTATGTAGTGTCTCTACTTTAAAGAGTCCTCTCCTGCTGATGTTCAGGTGTATATCAGTATGTAGTGTCTCTACTTTAAAGAGTTCTCTCATGCTGATGTTCAGGTGTATATCAGTATGTAGTGTCTCTACTTTAAAGAGTCCTCTCCTGCTGATGTTCAGGTGTATATCAGTATGTAGTGTCTCTACTTTAAAGAGTCCTCTCCTGCTGATGTTCAGGTGTATATCAGTATGTAGTGTCTCTACTTTAAAAAGTCCTCTCCTGCTGATGTTCAGGTGTATATCAGTATGTAGTGTCTCTACTTTAAAGAGTCCTCTCCTGCTGATGTTCAGGTGTATATCAGTATGTAGTGTCTCTACTTTAAAGAGTCCTCTCCTCTATTGACCTCAACATCCCTGATATGGGTTTTTAACAGTGACTACATGTTCTCTCTCTTCAACCCCCCTCCAGGATCGTGGTGGTTTCTGTTTGACTTACGAGGCGTCGATGACCCGTCTGTTCAGGGAGGGTCGGACTGAGACCGTGAGATCTTGCTCCAACGAGAGCTGTGCCTTCGTCAAAGCTCTGGAGGCTGGGGAGGTAACGGATAGAGACTGACATAATCGCTGTGTGGTCCGGCAGACAAAACAGAGCTGCAGGAAGGAGACAGCCTGTCCTCTTGTCTGGAGGTCAATGTGTCGTTATCCTCAAATAAGCTCTGTGGTTAACACAAGCTGAAGAGATTTTTACTCTACCACATAAAATACGTCAGTAAATACCCCACTGGTGGATTTTAAAATGGTAGTTGCTCTAAATGAGACGACTAAACATCATCACGCCCAACATTAGCCACCGTTAGCCGCCTTTAGCTTAGCGGTGGTGAGGTGAAGTCATGTGACCGTGCTGTAGTTCCTATATAGCCCAACGTTAGCCACCTTTAGCTTAGCGGTGGTGACGTGAAGTCATGTGACCGTGCTGTAGTTCCTTTATAGCCCAACATTAGCCTCCTTTAGCTTAGCGGTGGTGAGGTGAAGTCATGTGACCGTGCTGTAGTTCCTATATAGCCCAACGTTAGCCACCTTTAGCTTAGCGGTGGTGACGTGAAGTCATGTGACCGTGCTGTAGTTCCTTTATAGCCCAACATTAGCCACCTTTAGCTTAGCGGTGGTGACGTGAAGTCATGTGACCGTGCTGTAGTTCCTTTATAGCCCAACATTAGCCTCCTTTAGCTTAGCGGTGGTGATGTGAAGTCATGTGACCGTGCTGTAGTTCCTTTATAGCCCAACATTAGCCGACTTTAGCTTAGCGGTGGTGACGTGAAGTCATGTGACCGTGCTGTAGTTCCTTTATAGCCCAACATTAGCCACCTTTAGCTTAGCGGTGGTGACGTGAAGTCATGTGACCGTGCTGTAGTTCCTTTATAGCCCAACATTAGCCTCCTTTAGCTTAGCGGTGGTGACGTGAAGTCATGTGACCGTGCTGTAGTTCCTTTATAGCCCAACATTAGCCTCCTTTAGCTTAGCGGTGGTGACGTGAAGTCATGTGACCGTGCTGTAGTCCCTTTATAGCCCAACATTAGCCACCTTTAGCTTAGCGGTGGTGACGTGAAGTCATGTGACACATTTATACAACATTAGTCTGTTTCTTGCCGTATTTCTTTTTGATATAAAGGTTTCAGGTGGTTCTAGTTTAAAGTGTGTTTCTGTTCTTCAGGCAGGAGAGCAGTGCAGACATCTTTTCCGTCAGGCGTCAGAAAGACACCAGAATCTTTACCGGATGGCGATGACCGGAGCGGGAATTGACCGACATCTTTTCTGTCTCTATGTCGTGTCCAAATACCTGGGCGTCGACTCACCTTTCCTCAAAGAGGTACGCTTTGTAGCTGCAGAGACACATCCTTTACTCAAGTAGAGGTACAGATACTCGTGTTTAAAGATACTCTGGTGAAAGTAGAAGTACTGACTAAACTTCTTAACTCAAGTCAAAGTAAAGAGGGCTTTGAAATGTACTTCAGTAAAAAGTACCCATAACTAGCAGCTGTTTTAAAGAGTACCTGACCTCCCTTTATATTAATAGAACAATAATGTCATTGTTAGCTAATGAATGTTTCCATGCTGAACAACGGCAACATGACAACGTTTTCATTGGTCCCTCTTCTTTAGAGAAGAGCAGGAAATGATGGATACACGGATCGTGTTCAAATCAATAGGCACGCAATGACTCTAAATAATAATGATCACGCCACCAAACACACATTCAAACTAAAGGAACCAGCCTGTTTGGGAAATGTGAGAAGTAGAAAGTACAGGTATTTGTGTTCAACATGTGAGAAGTAGAAAGTACAGGTATTTGTGTTCAACATGTGAGAAGTAGAAAGTACAGGTATTTGGGTTCAACATGTAAGAAGTAGAAAGTACAGGTATTTGGGTTCAAAATGTAAGAAGTAGAAAGTACAGGTATTTGGGTTCAACATGTAAGAAGTAGAAAGTACAGGTATTTGTGTTCAACATGTGAGAAGTAGAAAGTACAGGTATTTGGGTTCAACATGTAAGAAGTAGAAAGTGCAGGTATTTGTGTTCAACATGTAAGAAGTAGAAAGTACAGGTATTTGGGTTCAACATGTAAGAAGTAGAAAGTACAGGTATTTGGGTTCAACATGTAAGAAGTAGAAAGTACAGGTATTTGGGTTCAACATGTAAGAAGTAGAAAGTACAGGTATTTGGGTTCAACATGTAAGAAGTAGAAAGTGCAGGTATTTGTGTTCAACATGTAAGAAGTAGAAAGTACAGGTATTTGGGTTCAACATGTAAGAAGTAGAAAGTACAGGTATTAGTGTTCAACATGTAAGAAGTAGAAAGTACAGGTATTTGGGTTCAACATGTAAGAAGTAGAAAGTGCAGGTATTTGTGTTCAACATGTAAGAAGTAGAAAGTACAGGTATTTGGGTTCAACATGTAAGAAGTAGAAAGTTCAGGTATTTGGGTTCAACATGTAAGAAGTAGAAAGTACAGGTATTTGGGTTCAACATGTGAGAAGTAGAAAGTACAGGTATTTGGGTTCAACATGTAAGAAGTAGAAAGTACAGGTATTTGTGTTCAACATGTAAGAAGTAGAAAGTTCAGGTATTTGGGTTCAACATGTAAGAAGTAGAAAGTACAGGTATTTGGGTTCAACATGTAAGAAGTAGAAAGTTCAGGTATTTGGGTTCAACATGTAAGAAGTAGAAAGTACAGGTATTTGGGTTCAACATGTAAGAAGTAGAAAGTACAGGTATTTGTGTTCAACATGTAAGAAGTAGAAAGTACAGGTATTTGTGTTCAACATGTAAGAAGTAGAAAGTACAGGTATTTGTGTTCAAACTGTAAGAAGTAGAAAGTACAGGTATTTGTGTTCAACATGTAAGAAGTAGAAAGTACAGGTATTTGTGTTCAAAATGTAAGAAGTAGAAAGTACAGGTATTTGAGTTCAACATGTAAGAAGTAGAAAGTATAGGTATTTGGGTTCAATATGTAAGAAGTAGAAAGTACAGGTATTTGAGTTCAACATGTAAGAAGTAGAAAGTACAGGTATTTGGGTTCAACATGTGAGAAGTAGAAAGTACAGGTATTTGTGTTCAACGTGTAAGAAGTAGAAAGTACAGGTATTTGGGTTCAACATGTAAGAAGTAGAAAGTACAGGTATTTGTGTTCAACATGTGAGAAGTAGAAAGTACAGGTATTTGGGTTCAACATGTGAGAAGTAGAAAGTACAGGTATTTGTGTTCAACATGTGAGAAGTAGAAAGTACAGGTATTAGTGTTCAACATGTGAGAAGTAGAAAGTACAGGTATTTGGGTTCAACATGTGAGAAGTAGAAAGTACAGGTATTTGTGTTCAACATGTAAGAAGTAGAAAGTACAGGTATTTGGGTTCAACATGTGAGAAGTAGAAAGTACAGGTATTTGTGTTCAACATGTAAGAAGTAGAAAGTACAGGTATTTGTGTTCAACATGTAAGAAGTAGAAAGTACAGGTATTTGTGTTCAACATGTAAGAATTAGAAAGTACAGGTATTTGGGTTCAACATGTAAGAAGTAGAAAGTACAGGTATTTGTGTTCAACATGTAAGAAGTAGAAAGTACAGGTATTTGTGTTCAACATGTAAGAAGTAGAAAGTACAGGTATTTGGGTTCAACATGTAAGAAGTAGAAAGTACAGGTATTTGTGTTCAAACTGTAAGAAGTAGAAAGTACAGGTATTTGTGTTCAACATGTAAGAAGTAGAAAGTACAGGTATTTGTGTTCAACATGTAAGAAGTAGAAAGTACAGGTATTTGTGTTCAACATGTAAGAAGTAGAAAGTACAGGTATTTGTGTTCAACATGTAAGAAGTAGAAAGTACAGGTATTTGTGTTCAAACTGTAAGAAGTAGAAAGTACAGGTATTTGTGTTCAACATGTAAGAAGTAGAAAGTACAGGTATTTGTGTTCAACATGTAAGAAGTAGAAAATACAGGTATTTGGGTTCAACATGTAAGAAGTAGAAAGTACAGGTATTTGGGTTCAACATGTAAGAAGTAGAAAGTACAGGTATTTGAGTTCAACATGTAAGAAGTAGAAAGTACAGGTATTTGGGTTCAACATGTAAGAAGTAGAAAGTACAGGTATTTGTGTTCAAAATGTAAGAAGTAGAAAGTACAGGTATTTGGGTTCAATATGTAAGAAGTAGAAAGTACAGGTATTTGAGTTCAACATGTAAGAAGTAGAAAGTACAGGTATTTGGGTTCAATATGTAAGAAGTAGAAAGTACAGGTATTTGAGTTCAACATGTAAGAAGTAGAAAGTACAGGTATTTGTGTTCAACATGTAAGAAGTAGAAAGTACAGGTATTTGTGTTCAACGTGTAAGAAGTAGAAAGTACAGGTATTTGGGTTCAACATGTAAGAAGTAGAAAGTACAGGTATTTGTGTTCAACATGTGAGAAGTAGAAAGTACAGGTATTTGTGTTCAACATGTGAGAAGTAGAAAGTACAGGTATTTGGGTTCAACATGTAAGAAGTAGAAAGTACAGGTATTTGTGTTCAACATGTGAGAAGTAGAAAGTACAGGTATTTGTGTTCAACATGTAAGAAGTAGAAAGTACAGGTATTAGTGTTCAACATGTAAGAAGTAGAAAGTACAGGTATTTGGGTTCAACATGTAAGAAGTAGAAAGTACAGGTATTTGTGTTCAACATGTGAGAAGTAGAAAGTACAGGTATTTGTGTTCAACATGTGAGAAGTAGAAAGTACAGGTATTTGTGTTCAACATGTGAGAAGTAGAAAGTACAGGTATTTGGGTTCAACATGTGAGAAGTAGAAAGTACAGGTATTTGTGTTCAACGTGTAAGAAGTAGAAAGTACAGGTATTTGTGTTCAACATGTAAGAAGTAGAAAGTACAGGTATTTGAGTTCAATATGTAAGAAGTAGAAAGTACAGGTATTTGGGTTCAACATGTAAGAAGTAGAAAGTACAGGTATTTGAGTTCAACATGTAAGAAGTAGAAAGTACAGGTATTTGGGTTCAACATGTAAGAAGTAGAAAGTACAGGTATTTGTGTTCAACATGTAAGAAGTAGAAAGTACAGGTATTTGTGTTCAACATGTAAGAAGTAGAAAGTACAGGTATTTGAGTTCAACATGTAAGAAGTAGAAAGTACAGGTATTTGTGTTCAACATGTGAGAAGTAGAAAGTACAGGTATTTGTGTTCAACATGTAAGAAGTAGAAAGTACAGGTATTTGTGTTCAACATGTAAGAAGTAGAAAGTACAGGTATTTGTGTTCAACATGTAAGAAGTAGAAAGTACAGGTATTTGGGTTCAACATGTAAGAAGTAGAAAGTACAGGTATTTGGGTTCAACATGTAAGAAGTAGAAAGTACAGGTATTTGGGTTCAACATGTAAGAAGTAGAAAGTACAGGTATTGTGTTCAACATGTGAGAAGTAGAAAGTACAGGTATTTGTGTTCAACGTGTAAGAAGTAGAAAGTACAGGTATTTGGGTTCAACATGTAAGAAGTAGAAAGTACAGGTATTTGTGTTCAACATGTGAGAAGTAGAAAGTACAGGTATTTGTGTTCAACATGTGAGAAGTAGAAAGTACAGGTATTTGTGTTCAACATGTGAGAAGTAGAAAGTACAGGTATTTGTGTTCAACATGTGAGAAGTAGAAAGTACAGGTATTTGTGTTCAACATGTAAGAAGTAGAAAGTACAGGTATTTGAGTTCAACATGTAAGAAGTAGAAAGTACAGGTATTTGAGTTCAACATGTAAGAAGTAGAAAGTACAGGTATTGGGTTCAACGTGTAAGAAGTAGAAAGTACAGGTATTTGTGTTCAACATGTAAGAAGTAGAAAGTACAGGTATTTGTGTTCAACATGTAAGAAGTAGAAAGTACAGGTATTTGAGTTCAACATGTAAGAAGTAGAAAGTACAGGTATTTGTGTTCAACATGTGAGAAGTAGAAAGTACAGGTATTTGTGTTCAACATGTAAGAAGTAGAAAGTACAGGTATTTGTGTTCAACATGTAAGAAGTAGAAAGTACAGGTATTTGTGTTCAACATGTAAGAAGTAGAAAGTACAGGTATTTGGGTTCAACATGTAAGAAGTAGAAAGTACAGGTATTTGGGTTCAACATGTAAGAAGTAGAAAGTACAGGTATTTGGGTTCAACATGTAAGAAGTAGAAAGTACAGCTACTTCCCACCTCTGGACAGTACAGGTATTTATATATATATATATATATAATGATATCCCTCTTTCTCTTCCTCCTCCAGGTGCTTTCGGAGCCGTGGCGTCTCTCCACCAGTCAGACTCCGGTTCAACAGATGGAGCTTTTCGACCTGAAGAATAATCCAGAATTCATCTCTCTGGGCGGGGGCTTCGGACCGGTGAGAGACCAACACTCAGAACCAGAACACTTTGAATATTACCGGGGGGAAAAAATGGGTTTTGTGACAGTTGCCCCATTTTTTAATTAAATAGATTACATGACATCACATGTCACTTGTTAGACGCTTTTATCCAAAGCGACTTACAGACTCAATACTGTGGGCAATCCCCACAGGAGCACTTTGGGGTGAAGTGTCTCAGGGACACAACGACATGCTGACTGCAGTGGGGTTGATATGAACACCAACGCACTAGTCCACTGCGCCACACGCCTCCCTACAATAACAATTTTTAAAACAACTATTTTATGAATCCGATCCAATCATACTTGGCAACAACACAGTTGGCCAAAGTGCTGTTCATCATTAAAGTAAAAATGTGCAATAAAATGGATGTCGTGGCCAAAATCCAACAGTTTGTCTTATCACTCCTATATTTCAAAAGTTCTTGTTCTTGGCCACATGTAGAGCTCGGAGCTGGGAAGCAGTGTCAGACTCGCAGGAAAGAATCCACGGGACGTTTTGGATTTCAACGTTTGATTTCCAGCAAAAACAAAACAAAATACGAAACAATATTTACCGTAAACCTAACCCTAACCGAGGGTCCGTGATGAAAGGGACTAAGAGGGTCACACGTAACCACTCACAAGCCCACTCTGACCCCTCCCGTGACCCCTCTCCCGGGATCCCGTTGCCCGGCCGGCCCTCTCCGGGGTTCAGCTCGCCTCAAGACCGTGTGTGTTTCTCAATGGCGAGTACGCTTGCTTGGTAGCACATCTTGCTTCAGAAGCGAGGCAAGAATACTTCCTGGCATTCGGAAAACAAAGAGTGGAACACGCTAGCAAGTGTGCAGGTGTGCGTCATATGAGAGGCCCCGCCTCCTTACATCTTCCGCCACAGATTTGGGGAAATTGGTCCGTGCGCAAAGCATTGTGGGGATTTTAAGACCGCGAAGTCTACTCATGTGCAGCCTCAATATTTCTCCAAACGGAGTACGCCGGGCTCGGTAGATTTCCAAGTATGCTGGAGATTGGAACAGTACTTCGGCGGCACTCGATGACGTAGCATGCTTGAAATAGTGGCTCTGAAGCAGCTTTACTCGCGATTGAGAAACACCCTATGACTCTGGCTCCAGCCGCCCCACCCACTGGGACCCAGACTCCCGTTCTTCTGCTGACTTCTCTGAGGATCATAGCCCAGGATCCCCTCAGCCTGCAACCAGTCACAAGCACACACGCTTTCCAGAATTGGTCCAAACACCTTTAAAAACTCATATTCAACCTTATGTCGAATAACACACACCCCCACACACACATCCACAGATCCTTAGGCCCGTGCAACTTATTCTCAACCGAGAACCCAAAACCCCAATCCAACACAAAACCCCAATCCAACACAAAACCTAACCCTAACCCCAGATCCTAATAATCCGTCTTTTTGCTAAACATAAGGTTGCGTCTGCGTGTCAATGGCGGTATTGCTGCTGCCTGCCCCCCCCCCCCCCGTCGCACACAGCACCTCCAACTTAAAGCTTTAGCCCCGCCCCCTTCACCTGAGCGCACCTCTCACTGAAACAGAGACATGTATTAATAAAGGCTCCTACACTGGATAAGAACACATTATTTTAACATACGAAATTTGAGTTTAAAGGAGCATTAAGAAATAGAATAACAAAATAATTTCAATATGTAAACGTAAGACGTTAAAGAGAAAATGTGCACTTAAAATAATTAAATGGAAGAATAAATATTTATACAAAGATAAGTTAATGTAAACATGAGCAAGATAAGACGTTTCCATTTTGCTGTTTTTTTGTGTGGTTTTCAATCGTAAAAAAAAAATATGTAGTTGAAGAACACACATTGTAATAAAGGTGCAGTGTGAGGAGGAGTTATTATATCGTCTCTGCTTCCTGTCAGGTTGCTGATGATGGTTACGGAGTTTCTTACATCATCGTTGGAGAAGAAATGATCAACTTCCACGTCTCGTCCAAACACTCCTGCAGCGAAACTGTGAGTAAACACTCCCTC